ATCCATCCATCCATCCATCCATCCATCCACCATCCATCCATCCATCCATCATCCATCCATCCATCCATCCACCATCCATCCATCCATCCATCCATCCACCATCCATCCATCCATCCATCCATCCATCCATCATACATTCATCCACCTGGATTACTTCATCCTAAACAAAGGGTAAAATTACCTTTTCTGCACATGTTGCTGTTTTTTTTTCTTTTTTTTTTTTGTGACCCTGAGATTAAAACATTGTTGGGTTTTATGAAGGCTGTTGTATTAAATATTTATTTGTTTTTGAAGTCTTGCTGTTGGGACATTTCAGATTATGACCCTGCAGGACAGCCTCTGAATCATCCAATAGTCTTCAGCTCCAGAACCGGCAGTGGATCAAGGCGAAGCTTCAATCAGGTCAGAACTGGACCTGTGCTGAGAATAACTCCAGAGTTCTGGCTAAAGCTCAGTGTTAAAATGAAACACATGGTGATTTACCACAAAATAATAATTCTTTAGTTTTTTTTTTACAATAAACTAATGTTTCTTCAATTAAAATACAAAAAAAAAATCTTTGTTTTGTATTTTTCAGATGGAGGTTATTGTGGCAGAAAAACGCCATCGAACTCGGTCTAAAGGAGTCATAGGTAAATCTGTCTCTCAGAACCTGTGCAGTTCCTGTGACTCGTGTCCTCTCAGATGACAGAACCCGATCAGAACCTCTCGTCCACAGACCGATCGATGTTTTGACTTGGTGTGTTTTCTGTGGAGAGGCAGAACATCTCCCAACATTTGGCCCATTTTCCGTCCAACTGCTCCAACTTGTCAGAATGTTTTTATTGCACACCAAACCCAACAGAACCAGAATTCAACTTTAATTAGACTAAAACCCTGTTTAGGCTCAGGTCCAGATGTTTTAAAGCTCTGGTCCAAATGTTTGCGTTTCAGGTCCAGATGTCCAGATATTTGGAGATTTGTTTCCAGAAGTTTAAAGAGACTGGTAATCCTGATGTTTGTTTCCATTCAGACAGACCCAGTCAGAACCTTTTCAGAACCTTTCCTCCACAGACTCATATCTTGATTTCACACAAATTGGTTCAGGTCCAGTCAGGCTCTGGCTCTGAACCAGGTCTGGTGCAGGTTTGGTGGAATAAGTTTTGACTGGAGTCAGTCACAAACCAGTTCCTGTAGACCAGTTGTCTCGTGGTGTTGGAGGCAGAGACCCTTAACAGGAGCAGTCGATGGTCCAGTACTGGGTTTTAGGTTCTGACCCACCTCAGACTGTTGAACATGAATCTGTTTGTTTCTGTCTGAAGCTGCAGTGGAAGCTGTAACTCAAGAATTCTTTAGGTAGGTGAAACTCCTCTGATCTCTGTCATCATCTTCTTCATCTTCTTCATCATTGTGGTGTTTTGTCTCAGTCCTGGAGTTCCGTACAGAAGGTTCGGCTCATTCTGCATCATTATTGTGCCGTGTGAAGGTCACCTGAACAGGTGCAGGTGTGACAGGAGTTTACGAACTTCTCTGTCCTGACTGCATCTCTGCTTATTGCATGAGTTCCTGCTTCACCTCCTTCCATGAAGTAAATCTGACAAAAAAACAGATTCGGATACAGAGGAACCGTCCGAATGGAGATGGGCACAGCTAACTAAAAAGTTAGCTTCATCAACCTCCAATCTGCTAAACAAGAATCTTGGTTCTGCTTATGTTAAACCACTAAACAGTTTAAAAGTTAGGGGAAGCTAACGCTAAAACACAAAACAGATTAGAAGTTAGGAGAAGCTAAGGCTAAAATGCTAAACAGATTAAAATTTAAGGAATTTAACGCAAAACTGCTAAACAGATTAAAGTTAGAGGAAGTTAATGCTAAACCACTACACAGATTAAAAGTTAGGGGAAGTAAACGCAAAACTGCTAAACGGATCAAAAGTTAGGGGAAATTAATGCTAAACCACTAAACAGGTTAAAAGTTAGGGGAAGTTAATGCTAAACCACTAAACAGATCAAAAGTTAGGGGAAGTTAATGCTAAACCACTAAACAGATCAAAAGTTAGGGGAAGTTAATGCTAAACCACTAAATAAATTAAAGTTAGGGGAAGGTCATTTTANATTGAAAATCTTTGTTGTAATGAATCACAGATAGGGGATTGAATGATGGTCTAATTTGAGAACTTGGTCAGTTTTTTATTATAAAGTCGGCTGTTTTGACTGTTCAGACTTAATCATGAGTGGAAAATATATATATGTGTACTATGTGATGAATATTTCAGTTACAATAGTTATTTAATAAATGATTAAATTAAATCAGGAAAATATTACAGCACATACATTCTTCCAGCGGTTCATGGTTGACCAAGCTCCTCCTGCCCAATGCATACATGTCAAACCCTAGCTGGGGTGGTGGGGGGTGGAGGGAGCCGGGGAAAGGCAGAACATGTGAGGAGAGAACGTTGGTTACGTATTGTAACCCCAGATTCTATGAGTGTAAGCGCAGCCCTCTAAGGCTATCGCAGATGGGTACCCCCGTGCGCGTACGCGCATTCTGAAGAGCCAATAGTA